TCATCTGCAGAGAAAAGAAGACTAATATCGAACGGCGAATCAACAGGCTCCTGGTCTTCACCAATGGCCTCTCGGTTTTGACCATTCGAATCATCCGAACGAATATGCACAGTAATACTGGTGATCTCAGACATGACAACGGTGTCCTCAGCGTCAGAGCGTTCATGTGGTTCCTGTTCCTGTTCCTGGTCTGATGGGACCTCTGATGGCACATGCAGGCCAGGGCTGGAAACATCAGTCCATGGTAAAGAAGATAATGATGACGATGGCGATGGCGGTGCTGAATTTGCTGACTTTGCTTCTGCAACGCTCATGGCTGCTTTGGGGTTGAATTTTGGTCGTAGCACAAAAACCATGGTGCGATTGATTGAAAATTAAATATGAACATTCGGAGCAGTCATTGGTAGTACTACTACTACTGCTACTGGTGTATTACATAGATTTTTCGACTGCAGTGCGGCGCAGTGCATGTCCGTATTGTAGTTGAACCATTCAAACCGTCAAAACTAAAAACGGCAGCGTGTGTGAGAACTCTGAGACATGTTAATGTTGTTGTGTCTGTGTCATCTGTTCGGGTGAGTTGATGTCAAGTCAACCTGATATCTAAAAAGTGATAACTATGTACATGCTCCATGGACTCAATGTCACATATAGTTGGTAATAATATGACAATGGAATGTGGAACAAGTATGGTATTATGATAATACGATCATTTCTCATTTATCAAGATAGTAATCGTTATATACAGCAACAAAGCGATTCCTTCCAACCAACCTCAGCTGAGACTATCAAAGTATGATCAACCAAAAGCTCATATCATATGTCGGACTATGTCGTCATTAGACCAGGTCGGCATCTAAACACATGCTTGGCTGAGCTGCCTGCCTGTCGGCACTGTTTGTGGCTCACAGCCACCGCCATCCCTTGTGCTTGGTCCTGTCAAGCAAGGAAACAGTAACATCATACATTATATATTGATCATCATCGGGCATCTGGATCAGCTTGTAGGAAAGAAAATAATTTGTCAATTTGTGTAGAACCTGTGAGGCTACCAGTGGCTACCAGCAGTTCAGTTCAGTCACAGTATTATATAGTTTGGTTGCATCAGTCTGAGCCGAGCTGTTCCTCTAACAACTATAGACTATACACTATATAATTAATCCATAACATGACATAAGTGGCTGTTTGGCTGTCAGAAAAGGAAAAAAGGACAATCGGGTATCCGATTGCTAGCTACTACCTACTACTACCTACGAACTACCCGTTGGCCCTGTTTGGCCTCCAGCAGGAACAGAAGAGCAGCTCGACGCTGCAGTAGCCCCCTGCAAGCAAATGCAATGACATGTTGAATAAGCTCGACTCATCGGCTACACCTACAGCCTACAAACGTCAAAATCAAAGTTTATATCATATTACATTGGGCCATTGGGTAGTCATCAGAATCACAATAGTTAAGAGCATGGATAGTCATCGAATGGTTGGGAGTTGAGTTGAGGGTGGAGGTCTACCTGCAGTTTTCACATCAAAGAACTCCAATCAGTTTGTCTTGCCGCCAAAAATGAATTTAACCTAAGCTTACCCAATTGACCCACATGAATTTCGCTTTGTTTTGTACATTCTGACTGACTAAAATGTAATGTCTCATGTTTGGATCCAACGGCCACCAATTAATAATTTAAACATTCCGACAATACTGCAGTGACAATCACAGCTTGCCTCCGCACTGCTTGAAGAATGAATGATTGAAGAGCACAAAGAGCAAATCCTGAGCACAGGGCACGCACACCACTGTCGATTGGCATACCAGGGAATGAGTCAATGAGTCAATGAACCTGAGTTTGAGAGTTTCTACTTTATGGTCATGGGTCATGGGAATGATCATGATCGACTTGATCCTCATTCATCAATCTGTTTGGTTTTACATGTCCTTCAAGACTATCAAATCATCATTCAGTCATCATCATCATCATTCAGTCAGTCATCCATTAGTCGTCCAATAGTTCGATTCATGGCGCTAGCAGTCCTGTTTATGCGCCAACAACAAAAACAACAAAAAAAACAATTACTTTACTTCGTGTGATCCCCATCATGACATTTATACATTTTCTTACTGGCAAATCTTCTGGCATTCTATCTGACATATCTTCTGGCATTCTATCTGGCATATCTTCTGGCATATATTCTGACATATCTTCTGGCATTCTATCTGGCATATCTTCTGGCTTATGTTCTGGCATATCTTCTGGTATTCTATCTGACATTCTATCTGGCATATCTATCTGGCATATCTCATGGCATTTTATCTGGCATATCTTCTGGCATTCTATCTGACATTCTATCTGGCATACCTTCTGGCATTCTATCTGGCCGTTGAGGTCCAGCGGTGCACACTGAGCTGGGCAAGTCCCAGGTTGAGGTCCAGCAGTGCACACTGAGCTGGGAAGGTCCCCGGTTGAGGTCCAGCGGTGCACACTGAGCTGGGAAGGTCCCAGGTTGAGGTCCAGCGGTGCACACTGAGCTGGGCAGGTCCCAGGTTGAGGTCCAGCCTGTGCACACTGAGCTGGGTAGGTCCCAGGTTGAGGTCCAGCGGTGCACACTGAGCTGGGAAGGTCCCAGGTTGAGGTCCAGCGGTGCACACTGAGCTGGGAAGTTGGCAAAGAGCTTGGCGAAGAGAGTTGGCAAAGAGCTTGGCGAAGAGTTGGCAAGGCGGAAGTGCAGGTGGAAGTTGATGCAGACATGGTCGAGGAGAAACTGGAGGAGGAGGAGGACGAGGACGAGGAGGAGGACAGCTAGCCGAGGAGGAGGGAGGAGGAGGAGGAGGAGAACAACTCTGATAAAATCTAACAACCCTCGCCTGGCAGGTGGGGAAAAACAACAAAAATACAACCACAACAACTACAACAACAACAACAACTACTACTACTACTACAGCAGCAGCAGCAACAGCAACAACAACAGCAGCAACAGCAACAACAACGACAACGACAACAACAACAACAACAACAACAACAACAACAATGGCAGCAGCAGCAGCAACAACAACAACAACAGCAACAACAACAACAACAGCAACAGCCACAGCCACAGTCAACAGTAACAGTCAATAGTCAATCAATAGTCCAAAAGTCAGCAGTCAGCAGTCAGCAATCAACAGTCAACAGTAAACAACTTAGTAAACAACAATAATAATAACAACAACAACAGGAACAGGAACAACGTAACAACAGCAACAACAACAACAACAACAACAACAACAACAACAACAACAACAACAACAACAACAACAACAACAACAACGGCCCAACAACAACGGCCCAACAACAACGGCCCAACAACAACGACCCAACAACCCAACAACAACCCCAACAAACCCAACAAACCCAACAACAAAACCTGAAAGCAGCTTCAATAGTTCAAGTATCCTGGCGTTGGAAAAGAAGGGCTGCAGCCAGCTGGTAAATATTTCAGGTATTTCGAACCATGGGCGGAGATTGCAGGCATCCACTGTCTGGAGGCAAACTGAAAGCAAGTCATTGCATGATGCATGCCAATACCTTGTGTGTGTGTGCTGGTTGCTGGCACAATTGCCAAGCTAAATCCATACCAAACCAATTGCACCATTGTGGAACTGACATGAAGGGAACAAAAAAATAAGTTACACAACGACCAAGTTTCTGTAGACAACATGGGCACTGAGAAGTATTGCCAGTTCCCAATTTCTCCGGAAAAGGTAGGGAAGCAGCACGCCTGCTACAAAACAAACACTGTGAACCTGAGGACAAGCAAACTGTGGCTAGGGTTTCGTCTCCCTCCTCCTCAACGTCAGCATCAACATCAGCATCAGACATTTGGCATTGCAGGGCCATCTCGCACATGGTTCGTAAACGACACATTGAGCTCAGCATCTGCGGTCGTTCTTGCAGTTTATACCCCCCTGCGCGCAGCATTGGCACTCCAGAATCTGGATGGATCACAATGCAATTTTCCAACTTCAAAGCTTCTTTCAAAGCACCAACACATACAAGGGCTTTGACTCTGTTTTGCAAGTCAAGTTCAACTGGCCTGCCTGTTCTGCCAGGAATCTGCCAATGGATGAACTTGACTGACTGCCTGCCTAAGGAAGGCAGGTCCAAAATAGCCAAAGCAAGGTTGCGGTTGTCCCGGGTAAAACGACCGTGGCTTTGTCTGGCTGAATGCGCGTCCTGCAAAATCGCGGCTGCAGCCAAGGTTTCCTTGGCCCATGCAATCAATGCCCCTTCCACCAGAAAAGCCACGTGATGTGTGCCATTTCGGATGTCAATTGAACTCAAGCTCGGCTGCTCAGAAAAAACCTGCTGTCTGCCAACAAAATCGAGCAAACACAAAATGTTGAGCGGACAGAAGGCTTTCACATCTACAGCAGACGCTTGCAATGACCCAGATGTGGGCCTTGCTGTGGCCATTGGGCCCTGATTGGTGTCCAAACCATCCTCAGTCTCCTCCTCATGGTTACCCATCACGCCGAGCCCATGCTTGCTATGCAATGATGCTTCGACCATCGCTTCTTCCTCGGTAGCACCTTCCTCGGATGTCAGACACGCAGTATCGTAAGTACTATGAACTTCGAACTATAACTACGGCTTCAAAGCTGCTTTAATGTACAAGGACTCCACCACAAGACTCAAAACGTCAAAACCTGATATGAGTGATAGGATCAATGAATCAATGAATCAATAATGTGTGTGTGTGATGCTAACGCTTCAATATGTGTGGTGACCAACCCAAACTAAGACTTAATTTAACATTTGTATCGTGTCACATCACATCAAATTAACTGATTGTGAGTTCTACCGCTAAGGCCGCTAAGGCTATCTGACTGGCAAAAGAGGACTGACAGTCTCACAGTTGGTTTCTAAGAACAATGCAACTACAACTACAACAACAGCTACTAAGACTAACGACTAACAACAACAAGTGTAGAAAAGAGGAGAAACCGAAAAGTTGCTCACTGTGATCTGTGTTCAAGGCTCTGCAACAACGGATTCTGCAATTTCCATGAAGTTCTGGCCCTGAATGTTGGCGCCTGTTTTCAAAGCCTTTCCGGCAATCTCTGATTCAAACTGGCTCCGCTCCTTTTCCAGGGTTTGCGACATTTGTTCGTTGATCCATTCATCAGCATCAGCATCACCTTCCATGTCAGTTTCACCCAAAGACTTGGCAGCAGACTGGCGGGCTAACTCACTGTCAGGCACATTCAAATTTGAGCAGTCTTCTGCATCGGCGTCTTCAACAAACTCATTCAACGCGTCGACGGGGTCATCAAGATTGACATTGAATTCAGGTTGCCGTTCAGGATTCTCACTTCGAAATTGTTGCATCAAAGAAGAAAGCTCATGAAACCCTTGAGGCTCAGAGTTATCATCGTCATCGTCATCGGAACCCGGACCGTCTGAGTCGTCACCATCACCAGTGTTGTGGTCCGTCTCATCAGCAAGGGCCGTGAATGTTGTCTTGGAAGCATGGTCCATTCGCTGAAATGTCAACAGTGTTGTTGAAGTACCATCGATCGGCTCCAAAGTTGCATCCTGACAATGATCAGTCTGAGCAGTTAGAAAGCCAAAGCAGCATCATAACATCATAACATCATTAATCATTGTTTTCTCTTACCATTACAATGACAGTCGTAGAAACGAGGACTAAGCACCACAGACTAAGAGCTACAACACAAGGCAAACAAACAACAATGTCAAAGCACAGTGTCATTATGAACACGCACCAGAAATTCCACGGCTGAAATCGTTGTTTGATCATCTTTCAACAGGTTGTAGAAACGTAGAAGAGCATCATGGCTCTTTGTAAACGACCATGGCGTGTGAATTGCATATTTGAAGGGACCGTTTGCAGTTGCATCCGCTTGGGTCTGTCGTCTGAATGCCACCAAATGAATGGCTGTTCGGACTTTGTCAGTGACCAGAAAAATCAATGGCGCACACACTGCGTCATCAATGCCTTTCGGTGACATCACAAAAGAGATTGCAGGAAGACCATCTACGCAGTAGCTGAACTTTCGCTGGGCACGTCTCTTGGATAGTTTGGAATTCATACTTGCTGCCCACAGTGTTGCGGGGGTCACTCGCGGCTGGAAAAAGGGATCACATTCTCTGTACTTTTTATTTGCGTCACTCAAGCTGAGAAGGTCTGAGCGAGTTTCAGCAGGGGCAAAACGGTTTTCGAGCTTATCCACATCCTCTATGAGCGGCCATCCTGATACACACTCGTCAAAGAGATGTTTTGCAGTTTCCTTCACGTCTGAAAACCTTCTCTTTCCACCAAGCCCATAGCCATTAACACCAAGGAAATGCTTCATGCAAGCTCTGGCCGTACACAGATCGAGTGATCCGGAAGGGCATCGCTGTCCGAAGAGACTTAACATTTTGTTAAGCCGCTCAGAAGCCTGCACGTCAGGCTGAACCATGCCAGCCACACCCCGCAAGGTAATGAACAACCTGAAAGATGCAAAGCCACTTGTTGCAGAAAAGGCCAAATCTTTATGGAATAGTTTTCGAAATTTCCTCACATTGATGTCGATTTGGTCGTCAGAGCATTTCAAAAGGAAGTCGGCTCTCAGTTTTCTACGCTGACCTGCAGTCTGGTTCCGTGTCCCAGAATGCTACCGATGTTAAATCATTGAGTCTATTTAGCAATTCTGGTCGTGGAATCTGAACCAGGACATCAACAAAAACTCAAGATAAAACCCACGTCCGTCTGGCCCGTTACAACAATACAAGATTCAAATTCCATCATGGTTCATGATGGTTAGACGGACATTAGACAGAGACTCTGGTGTTGAAGTGTGAGTGCTACTATTAGACTATCAATGAATCAATGACTATCAGGCTGACTATCGGACTGACTATCAAATCCCTAGATAGGCCACACAGCCACACAGCCGACCACCAAACCGCCACCACCAGCATGATGATGACGATGATGATGATGATGATGATGATCGATGGTCGAGTCATGACATAGGTACAGCAAGTGCATCTGTTTTAGCGCCAAAAGCCCACAGCCCACAGCCAAGCAAAAAGATAATGCTTGTACTTGTATATTTATGTTGACTATGTTGAGTTTGCAAGCAATGAAACCTACCTTAATAGTTACCGAACGTTACGACCACAAAGGCTCAAGGCACTGAAGTGACGTGCGTGATCCGCAGCCAGTGCAAAGAGAATGGTTATCCCACGGCCCATTGGCACAGTGATCTTGCGATTGTAGCCCGATGCTGCGTGCATTAAATTGTCCATCCTTGGTATGAAAAAACTGGCCAAACTACAGTAGGACTAAGACTGGATCATAGTGACGATATTGACCATTGTCCCATTGTAATAAGACCATAGTCTTAGTCATAGTCTCTTAGTAAAGCTCTTAGTTATAGTCAGAGTCAAAATCTCTGCGATGACTGTTCCATTATGAATGAAACAGCTGAAACATTGAAACCCTTACAGACTCTGACTTACAGACTTACTGATCTATGGAAACATCATAAAAAACCACTGTGACTGTGACTCTGATTGACTTGCCAGCTAGGAGGGAGGCCCACCACTCCATTGGCCAACCAGCACGCAAAGAACCAAAGAATCTGAGAAAAATTGCCTTACTTACTGTTTTCAAAATTATGCCCAATATGCTAATATCATCCAATTGGATCATCCCAAACTACTACCCATCATCATTACATCATTATATAAATCCGGAACTATTTGCCAAAAGAAGACCAAGAAGAACAGTAACAATATGCATTTATACTCACGGACTTATACTTAGAATATTTTCCAAAATTTGAAAACCAGTACTTAGAATAAAGCCATTACGAGACGAATCTGGTACTTAGAATAACCGTACTTAGAATATGCATATATCTGTACTTAGAACATGCATATAGAGAGAGAGAGAGATAGAGAGAGAGAGAGAAGGGACGTGGCGTGGCAACACACGCACCCCTGCCGTGGGACACCACCCCAGGCAAGGACGTGGTTACCAGCGCACGCACCCCCGAAAGGACAGAGATGAGAGAGAGAGAGAAGGGACGTGGCGTGGCAACACACGCACCCCTGCCGTGGGACACCACCCCAGGCAAGGACGTGGTTACCAGCGCACGCACCCCCGAAAGGACAGAGATGAGAGAGATAGAGAGAGCGAAAGAGAGAGAGATAGAGAGAGAGAGAGAGAGAAGGAAGGGACGTGGCGTGGCAACACACGCACCCCTGCCGTGGGACACCACCCCAGGCAAGGACGTGGTTACCAGCGCACGCACCCCCGAAAGGACAGATGAGAATGAGCGAGAGAGAGAGAGAGAGAGAGAAGGAAGGGACGTGGCGTGGCAACACACGCACCCCTGCCGTGGGACACCACCCCAGGCAAGGACGTGGTTACCAGCGCACGCACCCCCGAAAGGACAGAGATGAGAGAGAGAGAGAGAGAGAGGAAGAGAAAGAGAGAGAGAGAGAGAGAATATGAACCGCAAGAAACCTACCAAAACAACACTCATCACAAATCAAACAACATCACACCCAAATAGTTCTAAGTACTGCTGTTCTGTTTACAGTCTAAGTACCAGATTTTTGTTCTAAGTACCCATGTTCCAGCCAACTTAGAACAAGTCTCCCTGCAACTTGGGAACAGGATTTTTTTTTCCAAAAGTTATTCTAAGTGTAAGTCGGCAACTATAAGTAAGTGTATTTTTAGATTGGCATATTAAGTCCACATATAGTATATTTATAATTACTATCCGGTGACTGGGTGATAACTGGGCTGAAAGTGAAAGCAGGGAAAACCAAGAAACCAAAATTCAGAACACTGAACATTGAAAAACAACATACACACCCCATATAACAGACGACAGACCAGCGACGCCATGTTGCGAGCAAACTGAGCATCAGCGTCCAATTCAGGGTCGCCACAATCTTCTTCAAGGATCCCTGTTGAAACCAGTCGTGGCCATACATCGTTGAAATCTCGAGAAATGTCTGCTGCTTTCCCTGTTGACAGTCGCGCCACATGCCCCCAATGCTCGCCTTGATCGCGATGGTCGACTGGTTTTTGAAGAAAATTCTGCAAGTGTGTGAGTGGCCCTCTGCAGGCGTTCATGATTCCCACTGTGACCCACCAGAGGTTGTCACTGAAGCACCCCTTTGCACGTTTCCTCCAACGACCCATTTTGGCACTGAAAGCCTTTGATTCCTCGATTTGCAATTCATCAATCTCTACGCAACTGTGTTTCTTGTCGTTGTCCAGTGACTTGGAAAGCACGTCCATCATGATTGGAGCCAGCTTGTCCATTCCCGTCTGCAAGAACCTATGTTCAGGTTTGTCACACCCACTCCAACGTCCGGACGATGCTTTAGGCCAAAGCTGTCTGCATTCATCCTTTGCAGACCGGTAGCCATGCCTCTGTGCCCATGCATCAAAGATGGCTTTGCACAGACTTCGACATACATTCGAGCACGTTGCCAGCGAAGCGTAATATGACCATTCCCTGTGTTTTGCTAAACACCTGTCTGCAGCCTTCAGGCATGAGAGTGACACTAAATGCTGCGAGTGCTCTAAGCACGTGAAATCTGCGAAAAATGTGTTGGGCTGGTCGGCAACATCTGCTGCCAATATCTTTCTGGCCCCGCATTCGTTGAGTCCTGCATCTGTCGTGCACAGGAACCAGTGGACCACCGTTGATGATGTGTCGCCTGTCCTGAGCAATGCAATGACTTGATTATTGATGATGAAGTAACTTTTGAAAGAAATTTGGGTGTGCGTAGGTAGTTGTAGTAAATTGTACAACCATTAGCCGTGCATGATTGCATGGTCCCACAACATGGAATATGACTTTAAAGTTAAAATACACAAATACGGAATACCCATCATCATGTCTTGTTTTAGTTGTCAGTTGTCAATTTCACTGTCATCAGTGACTGGAAGGAAGTGTTGCCTGACAGTGGATTGACTTGTGCAAGGCGATATGACATAATACATACATATGATTATGTGAATGTGCTGTGTATGGGTCGCAGTAACAGCCACATATGCCCAACAAGTTCCCAAGTATATTACTTAAAATTACTATTAACCTTACTGTTTTACTATATCTTAATGGTTAAATTACTAATCGAATTATCACATAGTAGCCCAGCCAAGCATCTGCTTCAAGAAGTCTTGATTTAAGATATCTTTCCAAGTCATGCACCCCAGGCCTTCCAAATGTTTCAAAGTTTGGGCTGCAGTGACCGCAGAATCACTGCCATGAACAGGGAGGATGTCCGCGACCCTCACAATGGTCTCGAACCATGATGTAAAATCAAAATTCTGCGCATCATCAAAGTCATAGGTTTCATCTTCACATCCATCGGCTGCATTGGCCACATAGTCACGCAAGTATGCACTGCGAAGGATCAAAGCTGCCAGTTTCGATCCTTTCAAAATACCGGAGTTCGTGGCATCTTGAATGTAGCTGTGGATTGTCAACTTGAACTCTCCAGGGCTTCGGCTGGCAACATCCTGATACAAGTTGTGGAAAAAAATTCTGCTGGATGCCAATAGAGCTGTCCCAGCCTTTACCTCGGCACGTGCGACAGTAAACCTGGAAATATCTTCCAGCAACATCGCCCCAACATCAGCAGTCGCGCAATTCCCAAAGTTGCGTCTGATCGCAAGGGACACTGTCCCTTCAAGTGTAAGACGTTTGCCACCTCGCGTCCTTTCAATTTGCAAAAGCTTGTCATTGCCTGTGTTGTCCTCTGCTTCCTGAAGTGACTTGCATTTTGCTTCCAATCTTCTGCATTTTTGCCTCCACATTTTATTGACATTCATCAATTTGGAAATGCGCCTCTCAGATTTGCTTTTCTCCTGCTGCGACTCCTCGGGCAAGTTGGTTTTCGTGTGTCTACTCCGTAATTTTCGAATAGCCAACTATTATTGATTTAATTCTTGGTGTAATGGTGTTTCCAAAAGTTCATATGGGTCAATCATCCCGGTTGGTTGCGCAAAACATCCACAAGGAAAACTATTATGCCTTTACGCAAAAACATTGCTCCGGCACAAACACAAAAGTTCAGCCAAGGCGCTGATCTGAGCTTCTGCAATTCATCCTGTAGTTCTTGAACCATGGAAGTAGATGCAGAATTCCCAACACTAATGCTGCTTACTTCATCAGAAAAACATTGGGTTGAAGCCCGTCCAAATGAGTGTCGAACATCTGCAGAATCGTTTTTCTGGTCGGGTAATGAGTCCAACATCTCAACATCAAGATGACGTCGCATCGATTCGTCTGAACCCAGTGATATGTCCTTAGATGCTTGGATAAAAAAATAAGTTATCAGAAACGACTCGCAGTTGGATTTAGGTGTCTTGGACTCCTGAAATAAAATCTACATTGAGAAAGGGAAAAGATCCCTGCCAAGACTTTTGAAAGCACAAAACCTAAGTAACCCTACCAAAAGTCAACCCCGGCATTCAAGCTGTCATCCTCTCCATCCAGAGACATTGCTGGAGCTATTGTAGAAATCGTCTCGTGCAATATTGCCAACCACTCCGCCGAAGTTAGCGCAATTGACAAGACCCGATGCAGAAACAAAGGCACGATACCTGCATCATAGTAACCATTCCCCAATTCATACTGCAAAGCTTCGTCCGATTGTAAAAACCAACCAGCACGGCGTCTGACAACAGACTCGGAAAGACCTTCAGGACATAAATGAGAAGTCCTGACCACGGTGAATTTATCTCTTGCACGCGCCATGACCAACTATAGAAACAACAGACCATATTCTGAATAAACACTTTTTTGTTGTCAGTATTCCCATTTTTTAATGTGAGACCCAAAATATATCGTTTGAAACCTGTCCTCGTCGAGTCAGTGACGAGTCCAAACAGCCACTGCAAATTGCGTTCTTTGACACAGACGCGTGGACCATCAGCTGAATCCACCACACGGGCTGCCACGAGTAGAAAACGCAGCACCGCGAACATCATTGAAACCCCAACAAAATTCTCAACATCATGTCTCCAGCTCACACCCCCTGACTAGTGCAAACCAACATTTTGAACGATACAGTCCTCAATGGTTTTAACCAACTCCGAACTAGCGCATGTTTTTGTTTGATTGTTTGCACGCTGGGAATACCTTACCCTTGAGGCATGTATTATCGAACCTTTCTGCGAGCAAAATTTGCAGCGGTGTTTCCTTGATGGAAACGGTGTTCCTGAAGGCGGACTGGTTTCAAAAAACAACTAATCGTTAGAAGGTGCTTGTTGTCAAGTCAACCCGACCTGCGGTAACACCCTCTCATGTTCGCTCAAAAAAACTTACACGTAAACACAAATAGCCGCCATGAACCGGAGGCTTTTCAACTTCATGGCGCTAAACGGGCTTCAAAAGATAGTGAGTTACGCACGTCACAATATAATTAATTATAATTATATATATAATTATATATATAATTATATATATATACGCACATATATTTCTGTGCATCCCTCTGTAGGACACGATGTCCTCGTCCTTGGCCACTTGCAGTTCTGTGCTGGAAGTTTGAAAGTGCGTGGTTTCGAATTGCGCTGCGCAGGTCGACCCCAGGAGCATTGTCTATTTCCGTATACTTCACTTGCTGGCAGCTTCACTCAGACCCACGGAGTCGTGGTGAGCTGGTGCACCAGGACATTTCGTCCTCGGGGAGGGTTGCTGCTTCAGACTGGTAGGTTTGGTCGGTGCCACATATCAGGTGCATGTAACTTTTCCTTGCATCTACTGTATTCCTGCAGGAAGTTCTTGCATCAAATGTTTCGAGATGTCTCTGAGCTGAAACTTGGGCACCGGAACATACTGGAACTTTACTAAGTTCCGTTGTTGAACCCTGGGCAATTTGTGGGTGGGCCCAATCATCCAAGGTTGGCGGGTGGTGGCTGGGCATGGATCCCTTACGTCACATCATTGTGCCAGTCTCCGCCAGCCTCCTTGATGCAAGAAAGTGGCACAGGTGTTGCATGGTGTTTCCACATGGAATACTTGGAGATAGGGAGCTGCGCTCGCAGCGGCTTGCAACTCAGTAGGTTTCATATGTTTAATGACATGATCGACATGGAATTTTCGATGCTGATTGATGTTCGAGTTGGAAGACTCATCGCTTCTCCAAGGTGTTTTGAACTTGTACCGCAGTGGAGAGACAGAACTGCTCTGGCCTGAGAGGGGTTACACCGATGGAATTCATTGGAGTTTGGAACATCAACATTAAAATACATTGAATACTATATTGGATCTAGGTAAATCATGGTAAATCATTTGTAAATGCGCCATTTTCCATAGCTTTGTTTGGGTATGTGAAAGGTGGGTAGCAGCATGTAGCAGCAACAAAGCTTATCTTTTTGCCAGGTTTCCTTGGGATGCAGATATTGATGCCAATTTCATTGCCTCGCATCCAGTGGTCATTGGGAGCCTGCTTGAAGAGCATGAAGAAACGCTAAAGCGAATGGGTGGCTGGGCTGCATCTCGAAAGTTTGAAGCTGTCAAGCATGTCCATTCATGGCTGAGATGGTGGAAGATGGTGGAAGATGGTGGAAGATGCATTTAGAAACTTGGCGAGGCTATACCTACATTCTCCGTGGCGATCGCGTGGTATTCCGGACTTTGGAGGACACAGCTCGCATGGACATTTGGATCTCTGGCCCGTGCTTTGGCAAACAAAGAGTGAGATGTCAAGGCGTTCGAACGACAAGAAGTTTCGAGCTTGGCAAGTGACATTTTTTGAGGTCGCTTTAGAATCTTTAGATCACAAGCGGCTCCCCGCATTTCCCAAGGCAAGATGTGCGTGCTTTTGACATTCGAGCACGACTTTGTGGTGTGCGTGTGAACTTCTTCAGGGACCAATTGATGGGCTCAGTGTGGTACCTTGGCTCCAAGGCACACCTTGATGTCGGCGTTGCAGCATTCATCACTGGTGGTGTCAATTGACACGTCAATCCATTTTCAACATTTTTCAATTGTATGGGTGGATAATAACAACTCACCAGATAAAGATGTTCCCTTCAACCATATCAATTAAGTTGGTTAATTACAGATGTGCTGGCTAAGTATGGCTACAGTAAGTCATGTTAAATCATGTTGAATCCTTATTATTATTTGTTCCCCAGGTACTACCGACCGGGGGAGAAGATCTATGGCAACACTCGCGGAAAACTGCTTCATTGCCAATGGAAGGGACACAACGCGTGTCTGCCCGACTGTGTGCGAAACGGGCTGGGAGTTGGTAAGGCGCGGGCGGCGCCAGACCTTGTATTTGCCCTAGATTTTTGATGATCTTTGCAACCCCAGCTGATGCAAACTAATGCAACTTTAGAGATTTTTAGAGTTGGTATTTGCAGTTGATAGATGTTGATAGGGGGGAAACGGCAGCCATAGCTGTTGATAAATGCCATTTGCATCCATTTGCAGTTGATCCTGCCGCCATCACTTCAGCTGGGCAGGATGGCTGCGAATTTCCAGATCGCTTTGTACACCTCTTCACCTAGCGGATGCGACCTTCATCCAGAAACACGCCGGGCAAAGCACAGCATCACGGAGCGAGGGCAGCCGAGCGGCAACGGCGGGGAACGGTGCTCGACTTGCGGTGAGTTACATCAAGACATGCCTCCAGCGGTTTGGCCCAGTGAAGTCCAGCTATGGACGCTATGGTGGACACGGATGCTGTGCGCAATGAGTCCTAATTGGATGGTGGCTAGGGAGCATAACTTGGCCGGTTTGTTTAGTTGATGCAAAGGGCTTAAAAGGGTCACCATGGGTCACCTTTGCACCATGCCAGAAGCAAGCGCTGACGTTTGCACGGCAGAACATTCGTCGCACGTGATTGTTGTTCATCCGTTCATCCATTCAAGAAGAGCCTGCTGCACAGGTCAAGAGACATCACGATGTATTATTATATCATTATGATCCTTTTCTGGACTTCCAAACGCCACCTCAATGGATTATTTGAACGCAGCTCTTGGCTCCAAACGGTAAACCTCCCAGGCACCATGGCACCAGGCGAGTTGTTGGCCATCGTTGATCCTCCAAAATAGTATTTAAAGGTTTTTGGACACAACAACGGGGGGCAGTAAACGGGGTAATACCATGGTCTGCCCCACATTTCCACATGTTCTGGTTGATGACCTAATATTTCCAGATATAATTTGCAATAAATTGATGTAAATTGTAGGTAGAGATGCCCCGTTTTCCCGTTTTCCCACACGCCCATTGGACGCCTATTGACCCTGAGATGTCGTTTCTTGCTGCAGGCCAAGAGGCGGAGTTGCCGGAGGATTTTACCATAGATAAGGCCCAAGTTCAAAGTTTGAAGATGTGGGTTTGACCAATGGGTTGTATATATTATATATAATACCTTAATATATTATAATATGTAATACATATAATTATATATATAAATATATTACAATAATAAATATTATGTATATTTATGTATAATATATGTTCAGTTATTAATGTTAATATATTTATATTTATATATGTGTAATTGCATTATACAGGCCCAAAATGGCAATCCCATTTTCAGGTAAACTCATATTTGGTATTTTTTGGTCAGATACACTCTGATCACTCCTGTGTAAATCCAGCATTGCAATGGATGTTCCATCATTTTCCCATTGGAGACGGGAAATTCCCAATGCTCGATTGCTTGAGGGTACCATGAAACGTTAATATGTCAAAGCTCAGAACAGTCATGTTTGGCGCAAACTGAAGGATGCAAGATACACTGGCACAGCTTCTTGGCAAGAAAGTCCTTGGTTGTTTGGATGTTTGTGCTGCGATTTGCTGTGCGTTCTGACCGTTCTGACCGTTCGTTCTGATCATATAAAATCGAGGTGCTAGACTACAACAAGTGGAGAGGATTTGGTCACATTTCTCTCGATCAGAAGGCAAGAAACCATCGATCGCAACAACTCTCTATATTGTCCAATTTTTTTTTCGAAAGTCACGCTGTCCTTTTCACTGTTTCAATCCAAAACAGGGTCTGCTGCAGCAGCAGGTTGTCTTCATCTCTGCTTATTTATATATTTATATATAGTCCTCACCTGGTAACCTGGTACTGATGAGCGATTGACATGTGTGTTCTTTGTTTTGCAGGGAGTGGTGCCGGAAGCTGCTTGGCTGAACTTCCTATCCAGTGTTTGATTTGCTATATAGAGGTTCCTGGGAAAATGAATTTAAATGCTTCGGGACACATGGGCCTTTGCAACACATACATAATAGATCATAATAGCATCAGCAAGAACCAATCGCATATATATATATATGTGTGTGTGTGCAAATATGCAAGTACATATGTATTCATACATTATGGTACATTATACATCCCCTTCAACATCGTACCCCGAAAGCATAGTCTTGAAAGATAGCATACGAAAGAGGTACTGGATACACGCTCTTGGAAAGCCGTCAACGTCTGGGGTTGTCTCAAGTTGTGAGCCCAAAAATCCCATAGTTTATCTTCATTTTCCCTTTCAAGTCATGTTTTGATCCAGTCTTGAGAGAAAACCATATTGACATTGATTTGCAATGTGTTGCCTCTCTGCAAGCCGGCATTCAGCGCCAGCGTTTGTATCGTGTCTTTTGAAAGGACAAGCTCTTCGTTCACTGGAAGAACATTCAGACGGATGATCGATTCCCTCGGTTAAAGGAGGGACTGCAGAATCTTGGCGAAATTGACGAAGAAATGGGTGAGAAGTGGTTATATAATATCAAAGGAGCCCTGCGAGATTGCAAACAGTTTTACAGACTCCCCTGCCATGGTCACCGGCAAGATTAGCTCGCTGATCAGCTTCCCCTACTGAGGGTTGAATTTGGCCTGATGATGACAGTCAAGAGGACATTTGCTTGCGATTATTCCGGAAGGTTATGGAACGTATATTATATACCCTGTAATGTATTCCCATGTTATGTATATCTGTGCACAATTATGCATTTATGTGGATTCAGCCCCCCCCCCCACAGGTGACACCCCCAATGTCAGATGGTTAATAAGCCCATACGAATGGTTGTTGGCTGGTGGTGAAGAAGCAAGCGCTTGATAGACCATTATCATCGGGGGGGCTCATTTGTTTGGGGGTTCACTGAATCCCCGATATAATATAATAAATATATATATATACATTATATTATATTATATTATACTATATTATATTATATTATATTATGTTATATCATATCAAATTTTACGTCTTTACAATATATTATAATATTTTGATGTTTTATTACATTAGACTATATATATTTTATTATATTAGATGATATATATTATATTATATATATTATATTAGATTAGATTAGATTTCATTAGATTATATTATATTAAATACTACTATATTACATTAGTAATATTTTATTATATTATTTGTTTTTATGATATTACATTAAATTATATTTCATTATATTATACCAGTAGTACCGCACAAGGCAGTGGCGGAAGTTTCAAAAATAGGAAACCTATAGGAGAGGTTGGTTGTTGTGAATCACGGATGGCAGTGTTTTCTGGAGTGGTTGCAATGGTTGCAGTGGTCACCTCACCACAGCTGCTGGATGTAGTGTGGTGTACTGCAGTTGTAGTTGTAGTAATAGGTGTAGTTGTAATTGTAGTGTAGTGGAGTTGTAGTTTTAAGTTGTAGTTGTAATGTAGTGTAATTAGTGTTGTTGCAGTTGCAGTTGTGGTGCAATTGGTGTAGTGAAGTGTATTGTACTGTAGTGTTGTGTACTGTAGCGTGGTATAGTGTAGTGTAGTCTAGTGAATTGTAGTGTAAAGTAGTGCAGCTGTAGTTGTAGTGTAGTGTCGTGTAATGCAATGTAGTGGTAGTTGCAGTTGTAGTGTAATGTAGTGTAGTTAGTGTAGTGTAGTGTAGTTGCAATTGTATTTGTAGCTGTAATGTACTGCAGTTTAATTAGTGTATTGTAGTGTAATGTAGTGTATTGTAGTGTAATGTAGTGTGTAGTAGTAGTAGTTGCTGTTGTAGTAGTTGTAGTGTAATTTGTGTAGTGTAGCGTAATTAGATTGATTAGCGTAGCGTAGTGTAATTATTGTTGTGTAATGTAGCATAGTATATTTGTACTTGTAGTTGTAGCTGTAGTTGTAGCAGTTGTAGCAGTAGTAGCAGTAGTAGCAGTAGTAGTAGTAGTGTGGTGTAGTGGTACTTGTAGTTGTGGTTGCAGTTGTAGCTGTCTCTCTATCTCTCTGTCTATCTGCAAGCTTGAAAACGAAGCTATTCTGCGAGACTTCAGTTTTCAAACTTGACAACATCAAAAATGCAGCAATTCTGCGAGACTTCCTTCAAAAATGGAAAGTTGAGTGCAGAGCTGACGGCCTCGTACCAATGCATTTTGCGATTTTTCCAGTCCATTTGTCTTAACTACTGCGCCTGCCACGAAAAAGTGAGGCCAGGTCATACGAAGTGCGGCACCTGTCATGATGCTCCAAAATGCAACCCGTCTCAGGAAATCAGCGCCCGGACCTCCTAACAGCTCTGATGAACATGTCTCTTGTACTGCGCCTGCCACGGAAAATGCATCTTTGCAGATCCTCTTCAAATGTCCCACGCCTGCCATCGTTTTTGGACATGCTACAAAACCGTCACGTTTTGCTCACTTTTGACACGGTGCACAATCCCTTGCGCCTGCCACGCGAACGACATCTGAACGTCAAAAAGTGGTCCGAGCATATGGTATCATATGGTGTTTTTAACATCTTTATTCCGAAATGTGTCTCGCGCCACAACGGCGCGCACTTTTTCGACATCTCAACTTCCAAAAGTGGTCCGAGCATATGGTGTTTTTAACATCTTTATTTCGAAATGTGTCTCGCGCCACAACGGCGCGCACTTTTTCGACATCTCAACTTCCAAAAGTGGTCCGAAGCTGGTGTTCTTTGTACATTTTGACTTCGAAATGTGCTTCGCGCCACAACGGCGTGCACTTTTTCGACATCTCAACTTCCAAAAGTGTTCCGAACTCATCAGTTTTTTACACATTTGACTTGGAAATGTGTTTCGCGCCACAACGGCGTGCAATTTTTCATCTTTCATCTGGCCAGCTGGCTCCGCGCCCGCCGCTTTAGCGAGCCTACTTTTCGACCCTCCGGAGCCACAAACCATTGGAAAAACACAGTGTTTCGCGACTTTCCTAACTTTTCGCGCACCTGGATCTTCTTTCTTCTGAGACTTTCTCTTTTTTGATCTTCTTCTTCTTCTCTTTTTTTCTCTGACTCTTCCCATCTCTGCTTTTCATCTGTCCATATTGTCGGAAGTCTGACTTCTAAACTTCCTTCGGTTATATCATATTAAATTAAGCTATATTGTATTATATTGTATTATATCAAATTAGTTTTAAACTATTATATTATATCGCATTGGATTATATTTTAGTACATTAAATTATATTACATTCTATTATGTTGTCGCAAATTCTTACATTATAACATATTAAATTATCTTAAATTCTATTACATATTATATCAAATTTTACGACATTATAATATATTATATTATTTTTCTGATATTATATTACAGTATATTTTTTGTCTTATATCCTTTCATATTATATTTATTTCAAATTTCGTTATATTATCTTTTCTTATATAATAGTATGTATATTTAAATATTTTAGATTACCTTTTAGTATTGTGTATTACACCAAATTACTTTTTACTATATTTTATTATATTACATTACATTGTTATATTATGTTACATTATTATATGTTTTATTGAATTATATGGTACTATATCAAATTCCAATATGTTGTATTAAATGTATCATATGTCATTGTATATTATTACACTATATTTTTTTACATGATATTAAATTGTATTTTCTGAATTATTGCATTTTGTTTTATTATATTACATTATTTCTTATTTGTTAATATATTACATTTTGTTATATTATAATCAATTATCTTGCATTACATTGTTATATTACATTGCATTTTTTTATTATTTTAGATTTTATAATATTATATTCAATTATATTACATCTACACTACATTATTACATCATTATATGTTTTATTTTATTACATTATACTTTATTTTTATTTTATTACATTGCATTATTATATTATATTATGTTATATTCTATTCTATTCTACTCTATTCTGTTCTATTCTGTTCTATTCTGTTCTATTCTGTTCTATTCTATTCTGTTCTTTTCTGTTCTATTCTATTCTATTCTATTCTATTTTATTGTATCATATTTTAATACTATTTTTTTAAATACAATATACACTTAAATTATATATACGTAATTCCATATTCTATACATGTACCCGTAGATTTCTATTCGTTGCGCTTGCGTTGCCTTCATCTAGCCATCTACCCATGGTCCAGGCAGGACTTCAACAAGAGCTCATCGGTGAAGGCGAAGACGGTGACACTGCCAGGTGGAGGCGCGAGGGCTGGCAGCATGGTCCAAGCGAACCGTGTGAACTGCTTCAAAAAGGAAAGACGTCTGTAATATGTAGAGAGATGTCGTATACCATTCTATGTTATTACTACATATGATAATTATTATATACGATATGACTTCCGTATGCATGTACATATAGATATATATATATACGAACATGATACATGTACTGTGTTTTTTGAAATGCATGCGTGTCTCTGTGCGTTGCATACAATCATCATCCTTCATGATCTTGTTGAAATGCGTTCTTTCCAATCCGCAGATGATTGTGGTTTTGGCCGTGGCCAGGCATGGTCAATATCCAAGATGCCATGGATGCCGAGATCATGACGTCACTTGGGCGATTCGCTGCTGCCAGATGAAGTGGGCAGTGCCACGCTACTCAGGTTTGTTGGCGCACAAAATCTCCGGTACACTGGCACCATCAAGTGCCTGAGACAACATCATGGGTCAGAATCATTGTTGCGTTGTGGGTGGGTTGGGAACCTGGTGTCCCTGTACCACAACGTTTTCCCTTTTCCATGCGTTTGCAGAGAGTGAACACCTCAAGTGTTCGCTGTAAGACGGGACTTGCCTATACTTGCCTGAGAGTCCTGGCCATGTTCAAAATCTTTTTGAAACAACGAAGTGTCTTTGAAGATGCCCAAGCATGTTGCTCGCAGATACCTGCCTCTAGATGCGTACGCGGATGGTCTCCTACCATTTGCAGCCTAAGTAATCTTTCTGTATGCCATGTTCTGTTTACTTGTTTGCCTTGCAATTCTTCCAAGGTTCTTCGACCAAATGCGCGGTTTCGGCTGGGTAGCGCCCTTAATCATCCTTGATCGCATGAGCAGTGCCTCGGGGTGATTGTTGTATTAGGGCAATTCAATTCAGGCTACAGTATGAGTCAATTACAAGTTCTTGCAGTCCCGGACGGGCATAAACTATATACAAGCATCGATCCAAATAGACCTCAAGATGTATCAAGAAAAGTCCGGTAACATTATATATATTTATAATTACCAACTCCAAGAAAAAACAAACAAAAATTCTGGTTACTTTATGTTTCTGCGAGTCTTACCTATACCATCCAATGCCTAAACATCAGCCTGACTGCCAGGTCATTATTGACGATGGCTTCAGCATGGAGGAACCAGTGCCCAAAGAAATCAAGGCCGTGGTAGCGATGGCCGGGAGTTTACCATGCAAAAACCAACCATAATACAGTATATGTTTGGGAGTATAGCTATAGGGAGTAATATTTAATATCCCATCAAATCATAGCAATCGTATGTATTTACCTGCATGTGCAATAGTATTCGGGTGGAAGATGTTGGAAGTATGTTCTGTTTGAACTTGTGGTGTTGATGCAGAACGAGATGGAATGCTTTCCAAAAAAACAAGGTTGGTAAAAATTAGAGATGTAGATACACCAAATGCAGAATGGGGAAACGAGGTCAGTGATCAAAACATGTATGGGAATGGAAAAAGTGGTAGGGGGATGCCTCGTCTTTGGATTTCTATCATCAGTGGTGAAACATTGCTAAATACCCGAATTTTGTGCCTCGAATTCCCGTGTTTCACATTGTTGGATGATGTGTTAGCTGTGGTTGCCATTGCCACAGCTGATAGCAATTCATAGCCGCATTGCGATCTTGTGGTCAAGGAGCGCAGCCCTCAAAAGGGCTGGCATGCCGGTTGCAAGGTTCACGCCACTGAATTGCACACTGGCGGAAAGCCCTTGCGGATGCGATTAGATAAGTCCCTTGGCACAAAAGACGAATGTGTGAAAGAGCCGCCATCACCTTGCATCATTTTGCATCCTTTTTGCTCGTGGAACGTGAGTGGTTGAGTGCGGTTGAGCAGATGTGTGAAACTCAAGGTTGGCTGTTGAGTTTGGCATTATCAAGAGCAGGCTGGTTGCTTGCTGGCTTGGGAATGCTTGGGATATGATCATAGATCCCGGGTCGTGCGGTACTGGTGGACAATCTAGCGAATGGACAAAGGCTTACACTACACTATCTTACACTTCTCCAGCGAAAGCCACAGAAACTTGAGCCCCCAGACTAGATGGAGGAAGTAATGATATCGACATCGCATCGTGCCGGTGTAGCTTGTGCCGCAGGAAGGGGGACAGCTACTTGGCTTACAACCTGACTCTCCCAGGCGATTGCTGTGGTTGCCGCCTGCGGACTATTGGGACCGAATATGACCGAATTGACCCATGAGCCCCGCAGGTGGCACTCCAATCACACAGGAAACGTTGGAGAATCGACAGGGTGAAGGTGGTCGGAGCCTCAAGTGATTGGATATAAATTCAGACGAGCAGCCATATTTCTTCAACATGAAAGGATTTCAAAAACACTTGCACTGTGCTTTGCTCCGCGTAGGCTGTTTAGCGAGGCTGCGTAGGCTTCGCGTAGGCGTGTTCAATACAGCTATGTTGTCCGCGTAGGCTATCATTGTGATGGCGTAGGCTTTGCGAGGAGTGGCGTACGCGACCCGTAAAAATCAAAGGCCCAGACAATCTAATTAAAGCATATTAAAGCATTGCTCAGATGGTGATGACATGTGATGAAAATGATGGTTGAAATTGCAACTACATTTGATATGTCGCAATTGAAAGACTTAGTGCATTCATGCACATTGATGTTGTTGTCAGGTCAGCGGTATACGGGCACTGTCCAATGGTGGCACAGGCAGAAAAGCTGAGTTTAGGATGTTTGCTTCGTGAGCCTGCACGATGATGACATGTGAGATATGCAAGATTTTGCTATGAAGTTGTATTGTGTCATACTGCGTCATCTTTGTAATTGATTGTAATATTTCCCAGAAACTATCGTGACATTGATATGTTTTTAATGCACTGTAGTTGTTGCAGGTGGCAAGGATGGGGCCACATTGCGCCTGAAGACACATCCGCATTCCCTGCACCAGCTGCTTTTTGCAATAGATCCAACTGGGTTGTGGCGAGGTCATCAATGGTTAGCACATGTTATGGCAACTTTTAATGGGGAAACTTATGGTGAACCAATGGATTTTGCTTTAGTGTTCCCATAATTTTGAGACACACACACACCTGCGCAGCAGAGCCTCTGATTTCAGAAATTCGAAATCCCATCCCTCCACTATCAGCCAATATCCGATACCTGCCTACAAACTCTGATTTACTCGTACCGGGATCGCAAGAAATATATAAGTAATATATATATATAGTAATATAAAAATATATTGATATTTTAGACAGTACTAGTATTTTAAAAAATGATCACAATGATGATGATGATGATGATGATGAATGATGATGATGACAACGACGACAGTGATGACGATGATGACAATGATGACAATGATGACGATGATGATGATGATGATATTGGCATGCATTATATATTCGCATATATTGGCTATATACAATGCCATTCAACGATATTCAACGATGGTCAAACCATGTGAAACCACCATGTTTGGTGGTAGATTCTATGAGCCAATTGATGGTTGATAACCAGCTATATTGGTAAACAACCAATATTCTTAACCAGGAACTGCAACTGCATCTACATGTATAGTATATATATATAGCCTGTTCATTATAGTGAACAGCTTAACTAAACACCAACGGTCTGTAAAGTCAGCATCCTTCACTGGTGAAATCTCATTGAGGTTCAGCAAAAGCTGGCTGAGGCGGCTGCGCAGGCCGCGGCGAAGGCCGGGACGTAACGCTGGAATGGTAGGAGGTCCCTGTTTGGATGGGGAAATTTTTGGTATGGTTAGATTACATGCATGCATAATTACATAAATTGGATAATTACACTATATATATATACTGATATACACGTACCAATTGACAAGTATATGCTACTATGTGTTTACACTCAAATTGGGATGTTGAAACGTGTTGGAAACAAAACGCCGAGGCCAAGCCTGGCGAGGCGAAGAGCGAGGAGAAGTTGCTGTACTTCAGAAAGGCATGGCGTGTCATGCGGATCAAAAAATGGGTGACCAACATCCATTGAAACCCATGTTGAGGACAAAAAACGGTGGATTTTACCAACTAAAATGACACCGACCAAAGTGATCAAGAGCGGGGGTGTTCAGCCAACCAAAACAAACCAACGTGGGAATTTTACGGGCAGAAATGGTGATTTCATCCGCACAAAGGTGTTTCGAACATGTCAAAATCGGAATGTCCAGTAACAAACCAAAAGCAGGACACTTCGAACTGTTTGGCCACGGCTATGATGGTAGATACATACAGTAAATGTACCTGGATGCAAAATGACAGAACAAGCTACGAAATTGTGCGGTACCCGTTTCATGTTTTCTAATCCCTTAGCTCCAAGATGAAATACTCCCTTAGACACCGCTGGGTCATTATTGGTGATATTTAAGATTGTGGGAATGGGATTGGTATTGGTACTTTCCATCCTTACAACACTAGGATGATCCGCTAGCTGTCAGGCAGATTGTGAGTGGAGTCTCCGGCCGGAAGTTGGCAAGAAAGTCACTTTCACCGTGACTTGTTTGCGATGGGTTGTTTTCCCTCATTCTCCGTTATACAAGAAATACACGATCAAAGTTTGGTTTCAAGATGTGGCATGTAAGATCATGTAAGCCCACTTAGACACGTTCAGCGTCAGCAAGGTTTGGATACTCATGGATACTCTACGTGTTGCTGAGACGCCAAGGTCTACACAGATGATAAGGGAGCTGGCGCTACAGAGGTGTCCGCAGTGGAAACTTGGAATCACTTGACGTGTCTAGAGGAGAACTCAAAAGCCGAGTCCAATTGTGTGTTATGTTTTGTTGATTTTGGTTGCTTGAATATTTATACCAGTAGTACCGCACAAGGCGATGGCGGAAGTTTCAAAAATAGGAAACCTATAGGAGAGGTTGGTTGTTGTGAATCACGGATGGCAGAGCGAATCCACTGATGAACCGAAAGGTGGTTCTCCTCTCTTTCTCTCTCTTTCTCTCGCTTTCTCTCTCTTTCTCTGATTATCTACCTACCTACCTACCGATCTATCTATCTATCTATCTATCTATCTCCTCTCTCTCTCTCTCTATCTATCTATCTTTCTATCTATCTATCTGTTTGTCTGTCTGTCTATCTATCTATCTGTCTATCTATCTATCTACCTATCTATCTATCTGTCTGTCTCTCTATCTATCTGTCTGTCTGTCTGTCTATCTATCCATCTATCTATCTATCTATCATTATCTATCTAGCTATCTATCTATCTCCCCTTCTACCTATCTATCTATCTATCTATCTATCTGTTTGTCTATCTATCCGTCTATCTATCTATCTATCTGTCTATCTATCTATCTATCTATCTCTCTCCCTCCCTATCTGTCTGTCTGTCTGTCTGTCTATCTATCTGCAAGCTTGAAAACGAAGCTATTCTGCGAGACGTCCTCAGGTTTTGAACTTGACAACATCAAAAACGCAGCAATTCTGCGAGACTTCCTCAATGTTTGAACTTGACAACGTCAAAAACGAAACAATTCTGCGAGACTTCTTCATTTTCCAAATTTAACAACATCAAAAACGAAGCAATTCTGCGAGACTTCCTCGATTTTTGAACTTAACAACGTCAAAAACGAAACAATTCTGCGAGACTTCTTCAGTTTTCAAACTCGACAACATCAAAAACGCAGCAATTCTGCGAGACTTCCTTCAAAAATGGAAAGTTGAGTGCAGAGCTGACGGCCTCGTACCAATGCGTTTTGCGATTTTTTCCAGTCCATTTGTCTAAACTACTGCGCCTGCCACGAAAAAGTGATGCCAGGTCATACGAAGTGCTGCACCTGTCACGCAAAATCATCTCAGCAGACCTGAAGATCTGATGCTCCAAAATGCAACCCGTCTCAGGAAATCAACGCCTGGACCTCCACAGCTCTGATGAACATGTCTCTTGTACTGTGCCTGCCATGGAAAATGCATCTTTCCAGATCATCTTCAAATGTCCCACGCCTTTGGAAATGCTACAAAACCCTCACGTTTTGCTCACTTTTGACAAAGTCCACAGTCCCTTGCGCCTGCCACGCGAAAGCACATCTAAACCTCCAAAAGTGGTCCGAACCCTTGGTGTTTTAACATTTTGACTTCGAAACGTGCTTCGCGCCACAACGGCGTGCACTTTTGCGAGATCTCAACTTCCAAAAGTGGTCCGATGCTGGTGTGTTTTGTGCATTTTGAGATCGAAATGTGCTTCCCGCCACAACGGCGTGCACTTTTTCGACATCTCAACTTCCAAAAGTGGTCCGAACGTGAGGTGTTTTTATTTTTTTCACTTGCACATGTGCTTCGCGCATCTTCGCGCCACAACGGCGTGCACTTTTCCATCTCTCATCTGGCCAGACGGCTCCGCACCCGCCGCTTTAGCGAGCCTACTTTTCGACCCTCCGGAGCCACAAATCATTGGAAAAACAAAGTGTTTCGCGACTGTCCTACCTTTTCGCGCACCTGGATCTTCTTTCTTCTGACTCTTTCTCTTCTCTGATCTTCTCTCTTCTACTCTTCTCTTCTCTCTGACTCTTCCCGTCTCTGCTTCTCTGACTCTTTCTATCTTCTCTCTTCTACTCTTCTCTGACTCTTCCCGTCTCTGCTTTTCATCTGTCCATATTGTCGGAAGTTTGACGTCTAAACCTCCTTCGATCGTTTTATATCAATCATGAATCATGTGTTATCACGCGCTGCTTTGGTTTTCATGCGTTGTTGGCTGCAGCATGCTGCAGCTATATTAATGACATCATTATATATCGCCGCCATTGATTCTAATCATAGCTATACTAGCCCGATGGCTGGCAATTATCTATTCTGAGCGCTAAAATAATCTAAAGTCTCTCACGGACACATTTTGTGCCAACGCGGCTTAGGAATGAAGCATAGCTGAGCCGTGCGCAGGGAGTTCCACCCTAGCAGACTCTCAAGCAATGACCTGTGGGTGAAAGGATATAAATCGCGTGGAGGTAATTACGAAAGGTTTCCGCAGAAATGCTTTGAAACAACACAATTTCAATTTGTTGGATGAAAAATGGTGCAACATAACAGCAAAAAAACAAAGCAGCGCAAAGATGTACGATTTGATTTGTTCTGATCCCACCGACTGCATTGTGCACTCTTGGCTTGGTGATCAAGCATGAATTTCTTGTTAGACTGCGCCTGCAACTTTGCTTGGAAGTGGTGAGGGTACCAAAATCTACCAGTACCTGACTGTGTTCTTGTGCCCAACTCATACTTGATTTTCAGGCGCAGTTCACCTTAGCTAGCTGGGTAAATGCTCACGACGCAAATCTCCCGGAGCTTTTGGAAGCTCGAGCTGCTCGGGGCCAAGGAATCGTGTCGTTTAACCCACTGTACAATAGAGTGCACCATATGTACGAGAAGAGAAGGACCCTTAAAGATCAGCCAAATGGGCAAGCATTGTAAGATGCTAGCAGTTGGCAACAAAAAGTATAACAAGATATATGCAGATCATAGAAGGTCCCATTATTTCGATGTAAAAAATCTCAAGGCCAAGCGCAGGTCAAGGGGGCCATGAGCCGAACTCTGGCGATTTTGGGGCCTGAACAGGTCAGATTCCTGCCACTTATGGGATTGTGAACTTTATCCATTCCTGTGAGTTGCACGACTCAATATGACTCAACATGTGAGTCGGCGCCGGCAAAAACTTAATGTTGCAGGTGGCAACAGCCGGCAGCATCCCTGGCTCTATTACAGAGCTGTATGGAACGGTTCAATGTCACAACATGTATACATGCCATCTTTGGAGATGACCCGAAGGCTTTGCGTGAGCCCAGTATGGCAGGAAAAAAACATAGTAATTGCTGACATGTTGCTACCTTGAGCGAAGCTTACTGAAGCTGTTCCCGCTGTGGCATGAGTTTTGTCTTAGTTGCTCTGCTTTGCTTGCCAGTGAGCTCATGTGATTTTCACAAGCTCAAAGAAGCCAAACATGGCGCTCACTGCAGGTAAGGCAAAACAGGCAGACATGGTAGGCAAAACATGTTCCCGGAGCGACTTTCTCACATTCAGTCATCATTCAGTCCTTCGATTGTTTTGTACCCAGAACCTTGTAACAAGCTGCGCTCACATAGCGATGTCAACCGCATCGCCTCCTAGGTATTTCCTAAGTCCTAGACTCCTAGATTTCCCAGCACATGACAGCTGAGTGGCGCCATGTAGTGTTGTGACCACTGTGCTGTGTGATATTGGCAGCGGTCAGCAACAAAGTGAAGGCCGGAACCAGGGAGCATGTCACCTACTAACCTACTGTATCCTTTCCACAGAAATCAGCCATGGATATGAACGCACCGCCGCCTCCTACCACACCCAAGAGAGCTCGCGCCTGCGCAACTCCAGCAGACTGGCAAGAGGCCTCGGGAGTTTCGTGAAGGCTTTTGAAGATTCTTGAAGGAAACTTTGAACATCTTTGAACTATGATGGGATGACTATGGATGACTTGTGATAAGGTAAGAAATGAAGGATTTCATCATCCAAAGATGCTGGATGGTTTGATGGTTTCAGGAACTGATGACGCTGCCAACTGGCCTCGCAGTTCCAACCTACTGGCGCCGCGGTGGCAATGCTTTCAGAGATGCCCGGGCGAAACCTCATCTCAGTTGAATGTACGTAGCTGATCATAGCTGTATGAAATGTCAGAGATTGTCAGAGTATTTTCTGGAGAGAAAGTTGAGACAAAATACATGAAGAAAAAAATCAGAGGAAGTTTAATCTTTGACATTTGACATTGACCGATAGGACACCCATAGGTTTGCATCGGCCAATCGTACTGAGGTGGCATCCACCACAGGAGCATTTGACACCAGTGAGCGAGCTGTCAAGCGCTGCAGCCTGGCACTCAGGACGGCTTCAAGCCACTGAAGTTGGCTGGTGATTTCAATTTGATTCAATTTGAACATATATGAAAAGATATGAAAATATGCTATCTATATATATATATCTTATCTATCTATATCATTCTATATCTATAATGCGTATAATGTAGGCTCGTAGGCTATATAATGATTGCAATGTTAGAATGTATAATACGGTCTAGTCAATCTATCTAGAAATATATGAGTCTATGACATTATATTACGTTCATTACTAGGGATATCACATATAATTATTCATATTCATGTATAATTTCAAAAAGTTTATTTGATCTCAGTTAAGATTTTCCACAGCACATGAGATGTTGGTTTAGCCTCAGAACTGGTCGGATGAATTTCCCAGAATTGGCTTCCCAAAAATCATCCCACGGGATTTTTCCCTACGGATTGGGGAAAAAAAACCCTCGAAGGTGACCCGAATCATCGAAGAGTCGCACTTGGATTGTTATTGGTGTGATTGTTAGTTGGATTTTAACGAGCATTGAAAGTTTCCCAACATTTCCCAACTTATACCCATTGTATGGCACATTGTATGTGATGTAGAATATGTGTGTGTGCAGGTGTGCATTTATAGTGATATATATATAATATACAAATAGCTTGAAATTGTTGAAATATACCAACTCACAAGATAGCCACGATATCCCAATGATATCTGACATAGCCATGATGTCATCATGTACAAATGACATCGCCATGAACTTCGGGTCAGGTTCTTTGTTTGCACGGTGCTGGCGATGTGGCACTTTGCTGGGCCCAAGTGGCTCGCAAGCTGCTGCGAGATCAGCGATTGGGAGGTGCTCTCCGGCCGGTTCCTGGTGTTACTCCTTTTGGTTGATGATCAGTTCGGGTGTTATACTGACATTGAATATCCCCAACGGATAATTTATATAATCAATAATCTTATATCTGGTTGGTTGATAATTGTTGATGATTGTCACAATTCAATCCATTATGGGGAAGTTCTATCGACCAGAATAAGTGACGACAGGGGGCTTTGAACACTGCTCCAATAGGATTATAGAAACCATTTTATGGGGATATAGTGGTGAAACCAAGCGGTTTGAGCATTGTAATTGTAACCACCCGCAAATTGAGATAGAAGTTTGATGAGTTGTGAAGTTATACAGTATAATCCTTCTAAACAATAGTGATATTAGCTGCGTTTCCGCATTTTTCGGGGTGATACTATGTAGAACAATGCTCAATGATTTGATTGACAATTGGATATTACTGTATGTCTGATGTCATTGTCACATATGTGTTACTTGTAATTAACCCAAGCATGAGATTCGAAATTTATATGAACATTGATGTCATGAAGGATGTGCTATAGGTGTGATTGTGATAGCATGGTGCTTTTGGAGTTCCCACGCGGCTGTTCCAAGACAACTTTTGGCCTGTCCGTGGCTCAAACAGTATGATGAAATTTGCCGGACCATAAGCTGCAGGGCGTCCTTGGCACAGCTGATTCTCCAAAGGCCACTCCAAAGGAGACCAAGACGCTTCACTTCATTCTGAAGGAGAGACCCGCAGTCTGCAGTGCTCTCTTTCAGAGGCAACAATTATTTTGGAAACATTGATCCACTGCCAAAGTTTGGGTCTTGTTCCGGGGTTCCAAACAGCGTGGGAATCTTACTGGCCACCTCAAAGACTCTGTTGCATGTGTTTTCTTTGCGACACCGACCATGGGTTTGGCCAAGTTTTTTCCAGGCGACAATCCGCAGCAATGTCTTTGTGCGCAGATCTATGGTGAGCGCACCTACAAAGACTTGGGCTACCTCGAAGAGATAGAATACACCTGCACCGAGCAGAAAGCAGCACTGAGAAAAAGAACAGAAGTGATGAAAGATCACATCGTTTTTCCCCACCTGCCAGGTGAGGGTTGTTAGATTTTATCACAGTTGTTCTCATCCTCCACCTCCTTCTCCTCCTGCTCCTCCCTCTCCTCCAGCTTCTCCTCCACCACCTTTGCATCCACTCCCATGTTCACTTCCGCCTTGCCAACTCTTCGCCAAGCTCTTCGCCAACTTCCGCACGCAGTGGGCACTGCTGGACCTCAACTGCAAGGGTCTGAGCGCACCGGGCACCGCTGGACCTCAACCTGGGACCTTCTGAGCTCAGTGAGCACCGCTGGACCTCAACCTGGGACCGTCCGAGCTCAGTGAGCACCGCTGGACCTCAACCGAGCACCGCTGGACCTCAACCTGGGACCCTCCGAGCTCAGTGAGCACCGCTGGACCTCAACGGCCAGATAGAATGCCAGAAGATATTCCAGATAGAACGCCAGATAGAATGTCAGAAAGAATGCCAGATAGAATGCCAGATAGAATGCCAGAAGGTATGCCAGATAGAATGCCAGAAGGTATGCCAGATAAAATGCCAGAATGTTTGCCAGATAGAACGCCAGAAGATTTGCCAGATAGAATGTCAGAAGATATGCCAGAAGATATGCCAGATAGAGTGCCAGAAGATATGCCAGAACATATTGCAGAAGATATGCCGGAACATATTGCAGAAGATATGTCAAATAGAGTGCCAGAAGATATGCCAGATAAAATGCCAGAAGATATGTCAGATAGAATGCCAGAAGATTTGCCAGTAACAAAACGTATAGATGTCATGGTGGGGATAACTCGAAGTAAAGTAATTGATGTTTTTTGGAAAGGCTACTCACGAAGATAGAAAGCTGATTAAGCTGAGCAACTCTGGGAGCAGAACCGGAGACGAGCCAGCTGGGGCTGTGCTTGGTTTGAGAAGTGGTTTCACAGAGTAGTAAAGACAGCATTATATAAACTCATATGAAACTCATTAGACCTTGGACATCCTTGGACAAAGACTCCGTTTTGTTCCTGGTCATTTAGGCTGTGGCAAAGTCTCCTGGAATATGCTTGCAAATCCAAAGGTCAACCTTTGGGATGGAATCGGGCGCGGCGGCGCCCAAAACGGAGAAGTCGCCAAGCTAGATGAGATGCGACCCACGGATCACAGCGGCAGATGGGAATATCATGAAGTCGACGTGACCGAATTCTTTGGCGGCACAACTCAATCCTGTGCACATGGATAGTTTTGTCGTCGCCGGACTTCTGCCAATTCCTGTTGACCTCAAGAATCACCATTACCATGATATGAAATGGCAGGTTTGTGTGCAGAAAAACAGGCAAACAATTTGAGACCAAGCGCTTGCGACATGCCACAGGTTTTCTTGAGAAGCTCTTTCACATGGATGTATTTGGAAAGCACCCTTTGAAGAAAATTGTGCAGGATGCAACGGGGCTCAAAGTAAAGTACGAGTCGCGACTTCAACATGGCATGCTTTGCTTGGCAGTGGATTTTGACCTTCAAATTCACTTACTGTAGTACAGTACTGCATCTCTCAGCTGGTGTCTTTTTTGAATAATTACTTTGAAAATCATTGAAAGTATTCAAGAAAGGCACCAGCTGAGAGATGCAGTACTAAATGATGACTTAGCATCCCCATTGAATAATGATGCTTTGGAAAAACGTGGCCGTGGACACGACATTTTTTTGGCACCAATATGCGGCAAGTCTTTTGTCAGCTCCATCTGAGTCGGGAAACTCAGCTTAAGCAGTCAGGGGGAGTTTCGATTCATCTCCCCGAACCGCCCAGCTTGAGCTTCTATTTTGTCCACTTGATTTTCACAAAGCAAGATTTTCGCTTCCAAAGGTGTCTAGGAGCAAGCTATTGCAAAGGCTTGCTTGACGAATGCACCCTATGACAGATTCACATGATTCACGAGAGTACAAATCGCAGACTCCTACATTGTTTTGGGGATTGACGGTCATGTCGCAGTGGTTGATGGACTTCATGAAATATTCAGAAGGAACGAACCAACACATATTCCAGGAAGTTCGTGCCCAGCACAAGTTGATTCTTTCAGACCTTTTGCCGTCCTTCTTACTGGAAACAAGTTGTTTTCAAGTAAGAAGGACTGCAAAAGGTCTGTATCCCGAAATGCACCGAGTGAATCTCACCGAGGCCGTCCGTAGCACACAACGAGTTGTATTTGGAGCAAATGCATTTCAGCTACTTGTACAGCTACAGGATGGTGAGCTAACTACATGTGGTGGCACAACTGGTCCTCCGTTGAAATCGTTCATTTTGTGGGTGCTCGAAAGGTATGATCACGATTTGTTTGCGCCGTTTTCCGATAACACGGTCAAAGCCCCTGTGGTTCATTCTGCACACACACCCCTGTATTGAGCTTGATGGGCACGTTGCATTGCTCGTACCAAACGAAGAGGTCCATAGCAGTTTTGGGTTGCATCTTGAAGAGCGTTTGTGGACAGCTTTTACACCAATGTAAAACATTTGGCTGGTTTCTTTAGACGATTCTTTACGTTTCTTACCTGATCCCATGCATGAGGACAGGAGAAAAGATGAACTCATCCTTGACTGGGACATGAACGCCAGAGGTTTGGAGCAGCTGTTTGTGATTTGCATCGGGTTTGATGCGCAAATCACTGGTAGAGCTTCAAGCCATGTGGACTGATTGGTCCACGGTGGATGGCTGGAGACGACCTTTCAACTGGCTGATGCAAAATCGGAGATGAAGGCTGCAGCTCTCAAAATAGTTGAAGATAGTTGAAGAAGCACCTGCTCCATCCGAAGCTGATTCACATCCAGAAGCGGCCACCAAAGAACCTGATACATATGTCCATGATCCAAGCAGCAAAAATCTCTGCGGAATAAGGAGGAACTGCTACGAAAGGGCCTGCGGTGATTGAAGTGCGGCCAACTTCTGTTTGGGACACCGACGACAACGTCATCAACACCAAGATTGTGAAACTCAGATTGGATCCGAGGTTTGATGACGCCCAAGCTGAAGCTGATGAAGCTGCAGCTGCGCAATACGCACACATCGCTCACGCGGCCCGCTTCAATGACCTGGCGGCAGTCCGTAGTTTCCTCCGCCGCGACAGAGTCCGCCTGGACCAGCAGCGGACCAATTTCTCCTGGAGAACGGCGCGGTTGTGGACGTCCAGAACGACTACACCGCTGTCTCTCTGCTGCATTTTGCAGCAGCCTGGCACTGGAATCGAGTGGAGAGCACAAACTGCTTTTGGCGGTACACATCACGGATAAAGACGGCAGGACGCCCTTGGCCGAGGCGAGAAATCATCAACAGAAGGACTGCCAAGATTTCATAGGATTCCAATTCGGATTTTGAATTCGGAGCCAAACGTGCCCCTTGATCGTCAACTATCGTAAGAGCATATCCTGTTCTGATCAAAGAGATGCTGCTCGCGGCAGTGTGGACGGTCTGGATCAAAAGTGGGTGCTGGCACAAAAAACATATCTTGCCTGTTTCTCAACTTGAGCTGCAGAGGCAATGCAATTGTTTCTGCCGACCTTAGAGGGCATGGTCGTGCCTGTTTCGGACACGAGCCGTTGGACGAAAGCCTGCGACACTGGGACAGAATGAGATAGACCTGGGAGAAAGTTTGATTCACTTGTGCCTTTGAGGTTCAAGACGTTTGCTTTGCCACTCCCTTCGTCAAAACTGTTTTTCTATGTTCACTGTTCACTATGTCTTTCCGATTGGCACACTCAAACCTTCATAAGATGCCATAAGATGCCTCAATGTCACTCAATGTCATACCATGTCATACTCGTACCATGTCATA